CTCCTCCCATGAGCTGTGCGTCTGCAGCCCCCTACCAAGCAAGAATCAGACCAAAGAATGCAAAGCTTCAGCTTCTGCAGTTTAGGCAAGGAAATGTTCTTTAAAAACTGCAGAAAAGTGTTTATAGGAGCCTGGCAAAATCAGCAAAGCACGTGAGAGGCTGCAGGGCTGAGACTGCGTGCTGGCATCCCCCAGCTCTGAATGCACAGAATCACGCAGCTTTCTCAAAGGACACTTCGCACTTTGTTTGGCCTTGGCAACCATCAAGTTAATAGCAACGCTGCTTCCAAAAAAATAAAACTCTAACCAAACACTGACTTTTGTCAGAGAAGAAAAACCCCAACATGCTGCATAATTTGGAGCATGCACTGTTTAGTACTAATGCAAAATTTATTGCTCTGGCAAAACCTAACCATTAGCAGCTGCTGCCTCCTCCTCGCACTCCTCTGCATCTCCAAGGGCCTCGTGTCAGCTGTGCCAGTGGCGGGTCGGAGCAGCGAGCGAGTCCCCCCAGGGCTGGAGCCGCGGCCAGGGCTCCTCCCCGGGCCGGTCCCGCTGCCGCTCATCACTGACAGATTGCTGGGGCTGGCCGCTCTGCCAGGGACACCGGCGACACGAAAGCCTCTCGGGAGGAAAGTGCAACCAGCTGGGGATGAGGTAGGAGTGGAGGGGGAGAGCGTGAGCAGGAAAACCGCAAGACTCTTGTGCCTGCTAAAAATGATTCCCACCTAGTAATTTTAGCAGCTGTTGTGTTCTTCTGCCTACCTTCCTGGATAAATTTTAAGTAGGAGGTGAGTGAAAATGAGAACGGTGACAAAATCCCCCCCCCCCCCCCCCCCCCAAAACCTCTGTATCTGCACATTTTTAACTTCCCCTCGATCCCATCTTAAAGACACAGTCAGTTATTTTCCCTAGTTAAGTGGTTTTTTTGTCCTGGCTGGTAAAAAGGAACAAAAATCCACACCAGGGTTTCTCAAGGGTGATTAAAAATAGTGACCTGTCAGGGAAGGATGGAGTGACACAATACTTGCACAATACCTCAGACCTGCAAGGCCAGGATGTGGTTGTGAAAAGAAATGTGGCTTTCTAATAAATAAGAAATGAAGGGTGCTATGAAGCCATGGCTCCCTCCCACCAGGTGAACGAGGGTTTCTCTCCAGCATGTGCCAGCATGGGTCCCAGCAATGCCCTGCCTCTGCATGGAGCTGCCCCAAGGAGCAGCCCCCCAGGGAGGTCACTGTGCCTGTCCCCTCACCCTGCAGCTGCTCACTCACAGGTGCAGTGCCCGTGCTTTGTGAGGATGGGGGAGAACACCTGGAGAGGCCCTCCCAGAGCCCTGTGGTTAAGCAGGTGCTCTGCTGAAACACACACACACACCAAAGCACTCACAGCAAGGGCTGCTGGAGGTGAGCTGACATTTACCCACAACCTGAGTTTTAGTCCCCCCCCCCCCCCAAAAAAAAAAAAAAAATATATATATATCTGCATCGTGAATGCAGGCTAGCACCAAGCAGAGTGCATGGAGTGCTACCAATCCAGATGATGAGCTGCTCCCTCAGGGGGGAGAGGTAGCCTGGAGCAGCAGTTCTAGAGCCTGAAGTTCAGTCACCTGCTCATTTATACTGCTCTTTCCCAGGACCTTTGGGACCTGACCACTTTGCTGAATTCCTGAGAGATGATGAGATGTGCCTCTGACTAAGTTATCCTCCACTCTTCTCAAACTCTATGAATCCCAACAATTATTGAGTTTTAGGGGTTTGTTCACTTAAGCAGCCAATAAATAACAAACACTTTGAGTCAGCATTATCCTCTGATATGATTGCACAGAACTCAAGCCAAAACCACCAGCAGTTTTATTTCCAGCTATGCTGCATCTTCACCAACAGAGCAAGCAGCAGGTACTGACAACCCTCTGCAGCAAGGTCCCTCAAACCTTCCTCACACAGACATGGCATCTACAGACAAACAAGCTTGTCTTCATTCAGATCCACTGTAACAGAACCAGATCCCTCTCCTCCCTCACAGTTACTTTCCTTCCTCACCAGTTCCTGACACCCTTGGCCTCAGCTCTGACAAAAGTAAAAAAAGCACCTCTTTGCTCCTGTTCACCTCCCAAAACAGGGAACACCTGCCTCTGCAGGAGCAGCCTTTCTGTGCTACAGCTCCCCCAAGCCTTCCTCTCCACCGTGCCAGGGCACCATGGGTGATTTGTGCTGGAGCTCCTTCTCTTGGAGTATTTGAGGAGAAGTAGAAACCACTGCTGATATCCATGTGCCTCTCTCTGCCCTCACCCAGCTGGCTACTGCTGGGAAACCAGTTTTGGTACAACAAGCAAAGTGCGCTCAGTCCCCTCCCATGAGGATGGAGATGAACAACTGGGCTCTTTTCTCCCCCATGGGTCTGGCAGCTCACCCACAGCAGGGTGCAGGCTGGGGGTGGCCACAGTGCCCCATGACAGATGTAGGGACCACATGGAGGCAGGAGAGCAAGGAAAAGGCATAGCCAGAGCTGTACTGGAAAAATCAGAGCTGGTACTGGAGGAGTAATGTCAAGGCTCAGGACAATTGGTGCCAAGCTTCAGCTTTCAGTTCAATGGTGCAACAAATTGATGTTTTGGGCTGTGAAGATCCAGGGCAAAAATTCACCTGTGGCCATGTGGTCCATACAATGTTTTTAACAGTCAGACCCAAATAAGAAATCTGCAGATCAAGATTTGAAAGTTTTTCACTTGAAGGTCAACTGCTTTTTAGCCTGGTTACTTCTAAATTGGGTAGAATGTGCTTGTCCAACTACAATTTCTCAGCTAGCAGCAGGACATGCAGATTGGCCTTGAAATGTCACGTAAAATGATTTGTACCCTCAGTAATTCACTTCTTTGAGGTTCTGATTGTTGATATATTACTACCAGCAGAGTATACAGCATTACAAAAGAGAACAACACTTTGTACCTCAAATGTCTTGACTTCAAAGCATTTAAACTGTATAAACAAAGAGATATAGCCTCAGTCTAGCACCAAAGAAAGCAATTTATGTAAGCAGAAAGTCTGGAACAAATAATTAAAACACGAGACTAAACAAAAACATTTGTGAGTTTGTTGAAACAACTTTGAAATATAAACTAATTTTTTCTGTGTATATTTACTTGCACTTTACCTAAGGGTGTGCTTTCTTACTTGTGTTGCCTCTGGAAGCACATCAGTGGTAGCCACGTGAAGCTCTCTGCAGGCTCTTTTCCTGGAGTGCCCCAGCCTCATTCCACAGGGGGGCTGCAGGTGCCAACCTCTCTGACAGTGTACAGATGTTTATTCTAAACATCCAGGTGAAAAATGGCAGTAGCACATCTGCCATCCCCCTGCTTTTCTCAGAGTCACTTCTCTCCATAGTGAGTACCTCTGTCCTCTGTGACCTATTAGAGTTACACAGGATTTCTAACACTAGTGCCCCAAAAAACTGTACTGGACGATACACTCAGCATCAACATCTTCCATCACACCTCAGTAAGCTCACGGCGATGTACAGCCGCGGCTGGGAAAGGCACTGCTTTACTATTTGTCTCATCCCGAGGAGCTGAAACAGCCGCTCAGGGACAGTGGGGGCAAGACACACAAGGGCAGCGTTGGCGCTTCAGGAGGGCGGGAGGGCAGCTCAGCGCACCCGGGCGGCACAGGGAGCCCGCGGGCACCCACCCGGCCCTGGCCCCGCGGGCACCCACCCAGCCCTGGCCCCGCGGGCACACGGCCTCTCACGGCGGGCCGGGCCGGGCCGGGCCGGGCCTGCCGCGGGCGCGGGGCGCCACCTGGCGGGCAGCGGGGCCCGCACACCGAGCACTGCCCCCGGCCGGGCAGGCACAGCGATGGAGCGGGACACAGAGCGCCGTGACCCGGCAGGACAGGGACACACAGCGATGGAGCGGGACACCGAGCGCCGAGACCCGGCAGGACAGGGACACACAGGGATGGAGGAGGACACAGAGTGCTGTCACCAGGCTGGACAGGCACAGAGGAGGACAGCGAGTGCTGTGACCAGGTAGGACAGATATTTCAGCCCAGTATTGAGAGGCAAAGCAATGCACCTTCACCCGCTCTCTTGCTGGCTGCACCTAAATGACACCATGGCTTCTCAATACCAGCAGATCAGACCTGTTGTCATCTTATTGCACGGTTCCATATTGTTGTCTCCTTATCACAAAAGTTTCATACCTGCTTGGTGTTCCCCGTGGGCAGCTCCTCAGAGCACTGACACTTTCTTCTTCACAAAGCAGCCACTGAGCCCAGCTCCCCTCTCACCCAGCCACCCCACTCTTTTATAGCATTTTCTTCTCATGGGTTACAGCTCTGGCCTGTTAAAGTCAGGCCTGCTCCTGATCTTTGCTAATTGGCCCAGCTGCAACTCCTTAGGGGTAAGAGTACTGTCCACACTACCTTTATTTTCCATCACTACTTTTATATTCTATCCCCCTACACACACCCATCACAAAGTCAACAGCATTGAACAGCCCAGGTAAGCCCAAGAAGTTTCAGCTTCTCATATTCCTACTTTCAAGAAAGGAGCAGACTTTTTTTTTTGGTGGCAGAAGTGTATTTAATAATTTTCATATACAAATTAAGAGAATGCACAAAAAATTGTTTTGTATCCAAGTGAAATAAGCCAAACCAACACAATTTAATATTTAAAAAATACTACATTGATTAAGCAGCTACAATGGAAAGAATGAAAAGCTTTTCAATTCCATTTTTTGCAAAATTACATTCTAAATACTACCTTGCATACACAAGTGCAACCCCCAGTGCAAAAAACATCCAGTACAAAATAGTTTTAAACCCACATATTATCATACTGCAATGAAAATAAATTCACATTTGAAGAAAGCCATCACAGTTTTTCTCTAATAAGATTATTGCACAAAACAATCATGTGCTTTTTCCCACAATCATTGATACTTTACAGCCTTAGTGATTCCAAAGGCAATGGTGTGAGATTCCAGCATTTGTTGCTGCCACATGGAACATACATCCTGCTTTATGCAAATGAAATGTCTTGAGCTGATCCGCTGAATTCTTTCCTTCTTGTGCATAAACCCCAACAATAACCATTTTGCTGCACTGATTAGGCCTTGTGATTCTCTGGTGACCAATTTTGACTGATGATGATGATACATAAGAATCATAATCCAAGTAATACCAAAGTTGGGCTGACTTCACAGGATCAACATGACAGAAAGGCAATCAAGCCTATTTCTCACTCAAGAAGCTCACTATACTGATTATATTCTCAAAGTACAAAAATAGGCCATATATTGAGAACTGAGCTGTATTCCTCACAGAACTGGATCCCAGAGCAGAAACACACTTCAAGTTTACAGTTCCCTAATAATAAAAGTCCTGAGATCTTTGGCTGGATTGAGTTGAGGTCCTATTGCCAGGTAGAGCTTCAGTAGTAACCTAACTCAACCTAAAGTAATTTACTTAACTCAAAAGTCAAATTGCTCCACTGAAGCAGGTAAGGTAGAGTTTATTTTTAAATGTAGTCTGAGGCTGTAAGAAACCCTAAACCAGAATTAATTTTTAAGAAACCCACAGTTGCTCATTAAACCTCTTGGATAGAATTTAACTGAGACACAAAGAAAATGCCAGTGCTGTTGCAGACTGCCTTGAGAGCACTGGTCAGTAGTATTGCTTCAAAATGATGAGACAAACAACAGAATAAGAATTTATTAGCACCAAAGGAAACACCACATTTCTCAATTTATACCTAACCCCCAACTGCAGAACCCCTGCTATCAAACTCCACCACCCATTGTAACAGCTGAAACATCCAAATACAGTATCAACACTGCAGGCAGGTTCACCCTGGGTGACTTCAGCACTTCTTGCAAAACACAAGGGGACTCTACCAAACCAGTGTGACTACCATGGTGGTGCACTTACAACATGCTTCAGTTACTATTTTATGGTTTTAATCAATATTATTCAATATAAGTATAAAAGTTGGACCAAGTTAAATAAAATAACATGGTTCCATAGGTGCTACTTGTGAGATAAGAAATGTTTGGGTGTTTTTATGACTCATTTTTCACAGCATCCAAGTTGTCATAAAGAGTAGGGCAAAAGGTTAGGACAGCTGGCCACAGTCAGTAATGACAATCTTTTTGGAGGGTTTTCCACTCTTGGAACCAAAGCTCTCAATTTTTTTCACTACGTCCATTCCTTCCTTTACATGCCCAAAAACAACGTGCTTTCCATCTAGCCTGTAAAACAAATACACAAAGGCAGTTTTACTTAAAACATACAGACAATCTTAGCAGATCTTCATAGCTCTCACTGCTGACCAACTCTATGGCAAAAACTCAACTGTCCTTCAAGTGACATGAAGCTAACATGACTTTAGCTCTGGACCTTAGAAACATTCTGAGGGATAGCAGCCTTGTTGCTGTCACAGCTCTTCCTCCCTCAAGTAACAAAACAATTTATTTTTCATTGGAATGAAGTAATCCCAAAGTAACAACAAAACAAAGAACCAACCAATCAAACAAACAAAAAAATATCAACCCACAAGCAGCATAAAAATACCCCTAAGAACCCTTCAGATTCAGGCATCAACTAATGAGGTTAATCTGCAAGGCTGAGAACCTACCAGTCAGTTTTTGCAGTGCAGATGAAGAACTGGGATCCATTTGTGTTGGGTCCTGCATTGGCCATTGAAAGAACACCTGGAACAGCAGCAGCAGTTTGTTAGACTGGTGTAACAAGTATGCAGTGCAAAAGACACTTTTCCTCTGCACATTTAGACTAAATGTGATAGTCTCACAGTATCTCCATATAATTTCTAATGCCAACTTCCTGCCTTGGATTATTCCCTCCTGCCCAGCCCCCCTTGGTTCCAGAGCAACAGTGTTAGTAATTAGCTGTACACGCCCTGCAGGCAATTAACACCAGCTAACCTCTCCTGTGGTTCAACAGCTGCAGCCTCCTGGGACAAGGAAGTAGCAATGCAAGTAAGAGAGACTATAGAATGCAATCAGATATTCTTCTGTATGGCCTGCCCTTTGCTTTTTCTGGTGTTAATTTGAGCTTAAAAGGCCATACCTTCGTTACCTACTAAATAAGAAATTCCAGATTGCTTTGTTTTACTTCTGCAGTAATTTTCAAGTAGAAATTGAAGTCTATGACTTATGAAAGCAGTAGTTTCACCTCTGAACAATTTTAAATCCCCTTATTGGCTGGCATATATTTGTAGAGCACTCCACACAAATAAGCATATGCCAGGGACAACACATTGTTAAATTTCTTTGATACTTCTGTAATTACCAAGTGACCCACAAATCTAAAAACCTTTATTTTTTTACAACCACATCTTCATCAACAATGCTTTATTATTGGTTATAGTCTTCAGAAGGTAAAAAGAAAATGTTTATTTACCAGGTCCTACATGCTTAAGTATGAAATTTTCATCTGGAAATCTACTGCCATAAATGGATTTTCCACCGGTTCCATTATGATTTGTGAAGTCACCACCCTGAAACAGAAAAAGGTATTAACTCTACTAACACACATGGACTATTTCATATCAAAAGTGATGCTATTGCAAATCCACATACTTGCTCTAATTTAAAAGTGACAACATTAACAAATTTTCTTCAGGTTAAGGATGAGCATGGCCACTCAATTTAGAACCAGATGAAGGTACAGTCAGGCTAAAAGTAGATTTCTGCTCCAGATATTGCTGATGTTCTCTATAATTCCTACAACCATCTCTCTGTGTTACCAGCCTTTCTCCCAGAAGTGATGCAACAAACAGCAGTAATTTTAAGAAACACCTCAAAGGCCTCAAAAGCTAATCACCTAAGTTCATTACCACAGGCAAGACCTCCCAACTCCTTTTTCCCCCTCCTTTCTTCCAACAGGTACAAACACTGGTCAGGATCTCCATTATTACCCTTTGCTATTTCTAGGTTGTGTTGTTTGTTGCACTAGAGCTGTTAAGCTTATCTTAGCTGACCCCATGCTGCTTGCCAGAAGAGATGTGAGCACCTGTCTCAGGTTAAACACAAAAAATCGGTTCAAACAAAAAACGCAGCCACGGCGACTCGCGAAGGTGGCTCCCAACCACTGCTCCCAGGCACATGCCATCTCTGCAGGAGTGACACCACCTGTGCCAGAGAGAACTCATACCCAACTCGTACTGCATGTGACCCTCAGCTTCCCCTTGTCACCCTGAGTAACCTCCTACAGGTGGTGTCACAGCCCCAGAGCTATGTGCCGCATGCCGTGTGGGGCCGTGGAATTGCAGAGTCCCGGATATGACGGCCCTCAATTAGGCCATACCAACTGCCTGAATCACACCAACAATCCATCTCAGCAAGTGCAGGAGTCACTACTGTTTTCTCTCACTTGACAATTGCTGAAACCCATGACAGTATTTCCACTTCAGCAATGACCTCTGAGTAATTCCTAAACATCAATTCATTATCTCACCATACCATAATCAACCATCTAGCATCCTGATTTCCAGTCCAGCTGGGGGGGCCAAAGCAGGGCAGGCAAGCACAACAGACTTACAGGGAACTTCACAGATTTCTGACAGAATTCAAAGTAAGGTTTGTGTTTGTATTTTTTAATGTATTTCTGATCCTAGAAAGACTTCTAAACTCTATCCTTCTGTCAGTATCACAAAACCGTAGTTTGCATTTGAAAGGCAGGAAAATAGGTCCTTTACAGCACACCTGTCCCTTTTTTTCTTCTTAAAAATAGGTCATACAACTAGGGCCTCTTGTTCCAACAGATGTGGTTTTTGCTTAAAAAAAATAACTGAGGATGGGAGACTATCACATTCATCAGTTAACAAAAAATGCATGCTTACTTATAACCTTCAAACTTCCTTAAAATTTTCTCAGACTTTTTACAAAGCCATTCAACAATGCAATGTTGTTGAAATGTGCCCTTTTTTTAGGTAAAAGAGGACCACCAGAAATCCCATGCACTACAGCAGCTCCATCCTGCTCATCTGCCAAGCACAGTACAAAAAGAAGCTTTCAAAAAGCTTGGTTATTTTAGTTGCTGCTGTTTAAGAAAAAAGATGCATGGGCTGTTGTCCAGAATATGCATGGGCTGTTGTCCAGAATTTCAAAAGATCTGTTCTTTAAACCAAAACAAAATCCATCTCAGATGCATCACCCCAAAAACCAACCCCAAGCAACACTTTTGGTTTCCTTGTCCCCTCCCTATTACAGAGACATAAACCACTGAAAATAGTAAATTGTCTATTGTGAACAGATGATTCTGCTGGGAATAAGGAATGGACACGTTGTTTGTCAGCTCACAGAGAACAGTAAGGTGATTGTCATTCTGTCCACAAGTGCTTCTCCCAAGCAATGCCATGTTGTCAGCTCTGCCCCACACTAAGGTACACTGCTCTACTACAGCAGAAAGCCTTCAGACAGGCTTCTTCTGACCATCTACACATAACTTACATTTATTTGTACAAAAGATGAGCTAAGCAACAGCCATTGCAAAATTATCAGAAATGCAAGTCATGCTGTCACCTCTTTGTTGTTTTGTTAGCCAAAGGTTAGAGCAGAGCCATTTCAAATCTTACTACTAGTCTGTTTCTAGAAATATGTAAACAATATAAAATTAAATTTAATAAAAAAATGTTTTAAACCCCAAACATTACCTGGCACATAAATGAAGGAATCACTCTGTGAAAAGTGGATCCTTTATACCCAAATCCCTTCTCACCAGTACAAAGAGCTCTGAAGTTTTCTGTGGAAACAAAGCATGAAGTATTATATTCAGCATCATATGTGGCAATACAAACACAACTAGATTAAACATGGCCCAAGATTATACACTTCAAAAACTTGATTGCATCTTTAAAGTGTTATCAATCTATCAGTTATTTCCATAATTTAAAAAACCCTGAGATAAAGCCAAGAAAAAATCACCTTATTTAGCCTCAGGACAGGGTACCAACATAAGTCTTTTCCATCTCATCTCCCTTTTATTTTGCTGTGACTCCAATTCCCCAACTCCCCCCCTTTGCCTGTAGTCACAGGTTTCATTTTCTGACGTTTATGCCTTTGTTCTTTATAGCAGTTGTGAGGATTATGTCTTTTTTTAAGAATATTTGTCTACTAGGTACTAAAAAGTAAAAGTTTTTTTCAGAACCACTAAATAATCAGATGAGGAAGGAAACATGATAAAGCACAAGAACTTTCTAAAATTAATTTACTAATCAGCTAATGACCAGAAAAATAAAACCCCATATACTCTTTGGAAACTCTAAGAAATACTACCCCTTTGATTTGCCCTTCCCCATTTGCTCTGGGGTTTGATTTTCATGTCAGCTACTGTGGTTTAAACATATTTACTCAGCACCATTAACCCAGTATATGAACTGTACTGTCTTGGTGCAAATTGCAAAATGAAACTACATGGAAAAATAACAAATTCCATCTCCTCACTAACACTTCCTGTCATATTTCTCCGTATAACAACTGGGGATGGAACATGGAAAAATAGTTGTAAAGGGTAAAAGGACCTTCTCATTCTGGAAAATCACAATCTATAACTTAAGTATTTAAGTATGAAAATCTGAAGATGCTGCCTCACCTGCTGTCTTTGGGACCACGTCAGCTTTCAGCTGTTAAAGAAAAATAAACAGACAAATTCATAAGTCAGCCTTTTCAAATGTACATAAAAAACATTTACATGGGAGACTGCTACAACTGAGCTCTCCTCCCAAAGTGTTATCTGAAATCACAAGCCATCCAAAATTCCACGAATACCTCAAAACTTTCCAAGCATTTGGCCAGCAATGAAAAATATCCCCTCAATGAAACCTTTAGCCAGCTATTGAAGAGCCACTTGAGCAGTGTCTAATGATTTCACTGATCAACACATAATTGAGCAGTACCTAAGAAGACTCTTCACAATAGACCCCAAGGATCAGAGTTTGGATACAAGTAGAGATCAAAGTCCTCCCCCATCCCCTGCACAGAACCAGCTGTTGAAAATGACAGAAAAGGCAAAGGAAACAGAACAGCAGAAACTGTACATCAAAAACAACTTATGATGTTACATATACATCTGCAACCAACGAAAACTTCTGATTTTGATTGCTGCACATCTTTTTACTAATCTTAAAAAGGGACCTAAAACTGGCCATACCAGCCAGACCAGTTTTACCTAGCCGGACATCCTGACTGTGACCAGCAGCAGAGACCTAGAAGCAGCATGGCTGCGGTAAGAATTTAATATTCCTTCCCTAGGCCACTCTTCTCAGATGGCTATAATTTGCAGCAGAAGACCACCACAGCTCAGCCAAAGATTCAAGGTGATGCTGCAATGCCTTCAGACTTTCTCTACACTGGGCACACTGAAAAACTTTAGCATAGAAATTAAATGCTACCACAAGAAATACAGGAACATTAATGCTATTTTTTTAATAACACCACCCAGACTTTTCATTAATGAATAAAGAACTTGAAGAGTAATATTTTTACCTATGACTCCCTGAAATGCTACCTCCTGAGAGCACAACAGCTGCAACAGTCCAATTTATTGATATGCTAACACTATCGATAAATAAAAATATACTGGGCTCTAAGTCTCAAAGGAACCTCTTTTAGAGATAACTCTGATGAATTATGTTTAAAAAAATTTCTACAAATACAGACCCAAGGTGGGTGCTGGAGGCAGAAGGCCACACTGACTTCCCTCAGCAGGCAGCATTCCTAAGAGCTTCATTTGCTCTCCAAGCCGTGGTTCTGGAGCACAGCCCTCGCTCTTTCCCGTATACACCGCATCTATCTGCGGCACATCCCGGCCCGAGGGTCGCATGCACATAAGGTTGTACACGGCGCCCACGGCGCTTTTTTTCCTTTAAGAACAGATATTACAGAAGTTTTTCTCTTCAGGCCTTCTTTACATGGCCAAACGTTTCAGAGCAGGGATTCTTCAGGACGGAGCCAGCTGGTACCCGGCTCTTGAGCTTGCTGTCAGCAGCGCGGTGCCCTTCGCTGCACGTGGAGCCGGAGGCTCGAGAGGCAGCTTCAGGGAACTGACACCCTCAGGATGGCAGGAACCACACAGCGAGCGCCCAGCAAAACACAGGATGAACCCGGGGGCGCGGCTGAAGGGCTCCCCGGGCCGGCTGCCCCAGGAGCAGCAGCCCCCGGCGGGAAGGCCAGGGACCCCGGTGCCGCTGGGACACCGCCCGCCCCTCTCAAACCAGCGGTACAGGAGAGCAGTCAGTTCAGTCTTGTTCAGTATTTCTGCTTACACACTATGCAACTTCCTTCAAGGCTCGCAGCCACACCAGGGCCGTGCCTTCCGCCCCGGCCGTCCCGTGGGATGGCCTTAGGGACCGGCCACAGGCACAGGAGGGCCGCGGCTCAGCGAGAGCCCCGGTCCGAGCCCAGCCCGCCCCTCCTGGAGGGACTGTACCACCGCCCTCTCGCCCCGGGACAGGAGCTCCAGGGCAGCCAGGCAGCGGCTCCGGCAGGCGGGCGAGCCCCGCCATCCCCCGGGCCGCTCTCCCGCCCGCACCGGGCTGTGTGTGCCCCCGTCGCGGGCCCTGGAGCCGGCGCTGCCTGCCCGCCCTGACCTTGCCCGCTGCCCAGCCGCCATGCACGGGGCCAGGCCGCCCTCGGCTCCGCAGCACCGTCCCCTGGGCCCTGCGCCAGGCCGGCTTCCCGCAGCCCCCGCGCCCGTACCTCCAGCACGACGCGTCCCAGCGGTTGGTTGTCGGCGCCCACGTCCAAGTACACCACCGGGTTCGCCGAGCCGGCGCCGGCCCCGCTGCAGCCGCGGGTACCGGCCGCCCACATGCAGGCGAGCCCCGGCGGCGGCAGCAGGTCCCCGGGCGGGCGAAGCAGGCGGCGGGCGGCGCTCAGCGCCAGCATCCCGCGGGCAGACAGAGCGCAGAGCAGCCGCTGCGAGTCACAGACACGCGGACAGACACAAGGACACGCCGCCGCTGCCCCGCGGCCTTTATGGGCTCCGCCGCGGCGCCGCAGCGCCCGCTGGTGGCGGAGGCAGCAGCAGCGCAGGGCGAGATGGCGGCTGGGGCGGCGCGGGCTGAGACACCTTGGGGCTGCCCAGCGGGCTGAACGCGGGGCCCGGGCCGTGCCCACCGGGCTGAAAACACAGGATGAAGCTGGAGGTGCGGTTGAAGGGCTTCACGGCCCGGCCGGGGCCCGGGCGCGGCGGAGCAGGCTGAAGGCGGAGAGCCAGTGGCCAGCGCCGTGCACCCCTCGTGCTCGCCCCTGCAGCCCTCAGTGCTGCCCCCTCCCCGCCCACTATTGCCCAGCGTTTGTTTGGGGATGTTTGTGGGGATCTCGTTTGTCCGTTTGCGTGTGGGGTTTTTTAGGGTTTTTTGCACATTTCCTCACAGCTCCCTTACCCCAACAGAGACGGGGAAATTTCTAAAATTTCATCATTCTACACAATGACTCCGGAGAGCACCTTGGCGGGGAAGGCGGCGCAGCTGTCACAGGTGCGGGATAATGGAGATCAGCGGGATAATTGGGATCGGCGGGGACACGGGAGTCACGGGCAGCACCCCAGAGTTTCGGCGCTGACGCGTCTCCACACGCGGGTGTCCCTGAGTCACCCCCAGCGCAGCCCCGGCCGTGCCCTCAGCATCGCTCCGGAGCCCGCCTGGCTCGGGCCGCAAACCTGCCCCAGGGAATACAGTAATAGCAGTCCCGGTGTAATATAGTTCGTGTTTTATATGAAAATAACAACACATATAATTTTACCTTTTCTTAATTTAGCTACTTAGATGAAAGTACTCAGTACATATCGGTATTACTTTTTAGATATTACTTTGAATTCTCCAGTTTCCATCCTGATTTCAGTTATAAGTACTTCCAAAAGTTCTTCAAATTCTTAATGCCATAAGATGTCTAAAAAAAAAAAAAAGAAAATCAAACATGATTCTAATAGTTTTCAAATTTCTTTGTAGGGGGATAGAAAATAAGAAAATAAAGATAGTGTGGACAGTAATCTCACCCCTAAGGAGTTGCAGCTGGGCCAATTAGCAAAGATCAGGAGCAGGCCTGACTTTACCAGGCCACAGCTGTAACCCATGAGAAGAAGATGCTATAAAAGAGTGGGGTGGCTGGGTGAGAGGGGAGCTGGGGTCAGTGGCTGCTTTGTGAAGAAGAAAGAGTCAGTGCTCTGAGGAGATGCCCACAAGAAAACCCCAAGAAGGTATGAAGCTTTTGTGATCAGGACACAACAGTATGGAACCCCTGCCATAAGATAACAACATTTCTTCTATTATAAATCAGAGTTATTTTAATGAAGCTTACAGTAATGCTGCAATGTAACACAGTATAACAGAATCATACAAAGAGAGCCTGTATGTGAGGAATAGTAAACTTTCAATCCCACCTAAGTTCTTTGTGTCAAGCAGCTAAAAGAGCCTTCATTGGTGACATTCACTGAATGAACAGAAAGCTGTCAATCAAGGCACTGCCATGACCACAAAGATCAGGGCAGAACTATAATGTGCAATTACAAATAACTGAGAAATCCTGGAAGAACCCCATTTTTCAGGCACATGCTCCAGAGAGACCCTTAACTGCTGATGCTGTAGGGATGACTATAGCAGGTACCAAACTCTGTAACTACAGAACTATGTAAAAAGTTCCATCTTGTCCTGAGGGGTCACAGAAATGCCTAAGGAGGAGTGAAAATGGGGGAGAGGGGTGTATTATAGGCCAGTATACTTTCAACCTGATACTGCTTTCACTCCAGAGAACTTCTTGAGCTGGCTTTGCTATGTGGCCATCTTTTTTTAAATTCTGTTACTCCTCCCATGTACTTATCCACTCATTGGACTGGTTTTAAATCAGCAGCTTCCTTGGTGATGAACTGGAAGCTGCCCTTCCACAGGCCTGCTGCCCAGAGCATCAGGAATCTGTTTGAATATTGCTCCAATTGCCTTCATCAATGTGCCTTACTTCTTGTGCTGGACGAGACAAATTGTTTGTTATCTATCTTTGTCATACAGACCTACAGCTCTTCTCTCATTTCAAGACTGAAGAGTCACAGCTAACTCAATGGTTATTTATAACAAAGCTCTTCCATGTCTTTGTATCATCTTTATTATCCTTCTCTGAGCTGTTCCACTTTTGCAGATTTTTGGGATAAGAGGAGCTTTGCACAGTATTCAAAAAAAGGATGAACAATTACTTACTTTGTGCATACAATGCCATGCTGGTATTTTCTACTTCTTTACCAATAACCTTAAGGTTTTTGGTTTGTTTTTTTTGTTTGTTTGTTTGTTTGTTTTTTTAATAGGAGCTAAATCAGCACTTCTACCTAGCTTGTCATATCTTCTCAGCTTCAAGTCCATTTTTGGTAAATTTTGACTTCTGTTAATGTAATCATCAACCAGTTTTCTAGTAAAAAACCTCACACTCCTTTTTAATAATGTATTAATTGAAGTAGCCACTAGAAACCCAAATCAAAATTGTTCTGTTTATTCCTGGAACAATGGACAGTTCTGGCCCTGAAGGATTTATTATTTAATAAACAAGACAAAAGATGAGTAAAAGAAAATACCATATTGTTTTACGTTTAGGAAACACAGTGAAACAGCTTTGACCTATTTTGCTCAGGAGAGTTCACAGACATCTTTGGTAGAGCAAACAATAGAGTTCTCCTCATTTGCAGGCTTCGGTGAGAAGACAAAACAGCAGTGATTTTTGTATTTGAGAATATGGACTGAATTATTATCTCTAGGTTTATGCAATAGAGCTACTAAATCACTGGTTATGGTCTACTCCTGCAGAGTCAGATGAATTACAGCTCGTTCAGACAGTTTGACTAGGACCTTGTGAATTACAGAGGTCACTTTCCAAGGAGGACAGAAAAAGGTCTCCAAAAACTGTCAAAGGCCACTATATCACTGCCAACTGAGGCTTAGAGCTAGCTCAGCAAACTGATATGGTTTTAGGGGAGCTTTGAGCACATCCATTTGTAGACTTCTTGTTCATCACTGAAACTCTGCAACATGTGGCAGGGAGATGAGTGCATTTAGCTGGAAAATGAGTGCACCCCACACTGAACTAGATAGGCAACAGAGCTGCTTCAGCAGAGCTCTCATGGATATGGGTACCCGCCCTTACAGGTTTCATCAGCCTCTCTCCCTTCCCCCAAAACTACACAGAACTTAGAGATGGATAAACAAGGAGGGCTCTTTTGAAATTAGTTTCTAAATTTTAACCACCTACCAAAGGACCCCTCTGATCTTGTAGCAGAGAAATTTCTGCACAGGAAAAAGAACCTGTTGTATTGAATGGTACAATAACAATTTCATGCTGATATATTACTTACAGCTTGAAAGTCTTCATAAATGCTGTTCAGTAATTGGTTAAATATTACCACCACTGTGCCAAGACAGCCAGGAAACAGTAAGAGTGGTCAAGTGGCTCTTCCAAAGAAACAGAAGGATTAAATGCTTGAAAGGTGACCTAAAATTTGGGAATTTTGATTTCAAGGGTCTTGAAGTGGTGTTACTCCAGCAGACAGACAGTGCACAGATAAAAAGGTGATATGCATTCCTGATTCTAACTGTCCAGCAGCATGCCTGCTCATTTGTGTCACAGGAATGTGGGTTAATTGTTAATCTTGGATTGATGCTGGTGGCAGATGTGATAAGATTGCATTTTGCAATCTACCTACTGCAAGAATCCAACTACATGGAACTCAGCATGGTCTGTGGCCTGTTTTGATATGCTCTTCATGGGGCTGTGTACTTGGACCGTGCCAATAAAACCTCAAATAGAGGCTGCAGCAATCCAGCATTAAGTGCATTGCACAGGAACATCACTTGATACTGTGACACAGGGAGTGCCCACAATACTGGTTCTGACATTGACAAGAATGAATGCACATATGGGACATGGTTATCTCAAGGACTCTGCTAATCAGGACTGTTAGAATAAGAAGAGGTCATACAGGTACTCAGCTTGATTTTAAGTGAGGAGAGCAGGAATTTGCAGTGGGCATTTCCACTCTCCACCTGCAGAGCCTGGATGTGTGGCACTTCAAAAGACTCAGCCTAATATTTTCTTCAAAGTTTTGGCTAAGCTAGAAGATGAGTGAAGAGCTGGAAAAGAACTCTGTGATCTATGTCTGTGATATGCATTTATTTATGAATGGGGACTGGAGTGGGGGAGATGGTGAAACACCTCCATTACACTCAGTGATTGCAGTGTGAAATTAAACCATACAAGAGCTCAAAGGGTGGGTACACTTAAGGATAAAAAGAAAAAATGCTAATAAATATTTCCCCTGATCCAGGTTTCCTCTTAGGAACTTGTAGTACCTCAGCTCACGACGTGAACATTCTCTCCAGCACACATTGTAGTTAAAGGAGCAGTTTCCCCACATGACTTCATTCTAATTACCTACAAATAGTCATACAAGAAAAACCTCAATCCACTCATGCTCTTTACAGCTGTAATTAGCATTTTCATTTCAGAACTTCTGAGTGACACTGCTTGCCCAGAATTCATTACTCAATCTCCCTGCATAATGCATGGCAGCTGGTGTGTCACAGTGCCTCTGTGCAGTGCCCAGAACACTGCAGTGCCCATACACTGCAACAGCTGCCAACGGATAGATCACATCAGCCTGGCAAAGCACTTAGGACATTTAAAATGCCTGGTTTTAGATTCTAGGGAAAATGCAGCTACTACTTGCAGTGGCCTCACAAATCTTCAGGACATCAATAGTGTCTCTCCCACTCCCTGTGGGTGGGAGAGACACTACATACCTACAAAGCAGTATTAAGAGTTACAGGAGCCCCTCTACCTCTAAAACCACAGAATATTCAATTGTGACACAACTTGAAATTTACAGGGATCAGTTAAGTTAATTTACCACCTCTGCTTTGAGGAACAAGTAATTAGGGAATAGTATCAGAAATACTTTAAGAATTGGTTAGTCATGATACTTC